ATCATCATCATCATCATCATCATCATCATCATCATCATCATCATCATCATCATCATCATCATCTTAGCTTGATCGACATGGAGACTGACACGTCCATTCTCTTCACAGATCATCGCCGGCCGCAGTCACGACTGCATCGCGGGTAGGCCATGACTCCGGCCACCGCAGATAAGCTATGCCTCGTCCACATACTGGACACCCTGAGGATGGTGGTTTATCCCTAGGGCTCCAGTCGTACCTTCTAAGAAGGTGTTTGGGGTGGGTTTAGAGGGTCCAAATACAGGTAATTAATTGGAGCCCTAGGGTATAATTACAAGGGAGGATGGTGACGTTGGGGAGGCATGGACATGGCTGAAACATCAACAGCTCCAGCCAGTTCCAGCCTGTCCAGCTGGCAAGGCGACCGCTGGTTCAGCTCAGGTGTCGTAAGCTCGCACGCACGTGGCGAACGGCCCGGCGACGGAACCGGCCGAAGCGAAGGGCAACGGCAGGCGCCGGCGACGTGCGTCGTGTGGCACGGTGAACGGAATTGCCTGCAGAGGCGAGTCGAGTCAGGCACCACGACGCACAAGGAATGATGGGCGAGGGAGGAAAAGATGGAGGCCCTTCTGTTTTTTGAGAAGCATCAGGATGACCAGCGCATTGATGCTGAGCTCAAGAGAGCCATGCAGAGCTCAAGAGAGCTTACCATTTCAGCCTGTAGACTTGCGCCGGGTTTGGACCGAGGCAGGTCATGATCAAAGGTGCTGAAAGTGATGCAGATTGACCATGCAGACCTTTAGAAACGGATGGAATTTTGCTCGGTGGTATCAGCTGCTAAATGCTGCTCTCAACATATTCATGACCTGGACATGACTTTCGAAGCGGGGGAACATCGCGAAACCTGTTGGTCAAAGGACAAGCTGCGTGTTTTTCTTTGACCTTTGGAACACAAATCTGGAGGAAAACTGTTTTCGAGAATGGCCTGGGCTGTCAGGGGTTTCCTGCCGATGATCCCGTCCGCAAACCATGAACAGCTTCACGAACTGCACGATTTGCACGAACCTTTGCACGAACTGCGGAGTCTTAGCGTGGACCCGCCCAGGAACATTTCCAGTTGACGGACGCGGTGATCGAGAAAGTCTTAGAGAAGGTCTTTATGAAGGCCTGCTTTCGCTGTTGTTTTTTCTCTGTTCTTTATAGTGCTATGTGAGCTGGCGGGAAGCAAGACCTCGATCAGATTGAAAGTCAAAATAGTGTTGCGTGTCCTTGTCCCCCAGGACCTGAGCCTGTTTGTGTTGACCTCCCACTGGAGTCTCTGTTTGTGACCTAAACTGGGGGAACTCAGTGACCCGTTTTGCTATATCACTTTGAAGGTCCAAAAACAAGTTTAATGCAAGTCCAGCTGTTTCTGGATCAGTGGATCCTCAACACTGAAGGTCATTTCTTCACCACTTGCATTTCGCACCAAAAACATGGGCTGAACCAATTAACAGACACTTGAGATTGCAACTTAAATCTGGCAAGCAACCCACGGCTTGTATGTTTAGTTTTTTTTTACGTTCACAATTGACATAGGTGACTTGAGTCCATGTCGACTCCTGCTGGGGCAAAAGTTTCAGGAAGCCAACTTGTAAAGAGAACAAACCGGTTCATCAAAAGTACACCTCTCCTCTATCATCAGGGTGTCATCCCCATCACTCTCAAAGTCAGATGACACCTCTCTCCACATCGATCCTGGGAGACCCGGTCATCCTCGCATACCTGCCACAGAGAGGGACTCAGCATACGCACATCGTGCCCGGTGAGCTTTTGGAAAAGACCTGGTTGCAATCATAGTTGCATCATTGTTAATCAATTTGTTTGATAATCAATGTTAATCATTGTAAGAGAATGCGATCTGAATCTCTGAAAGCGGGCACATGTGTTTTTTTTTCTGAAAGAATGGAAGCTGCTCAGCACTGCCCGCACACTCTTTGGAGAAACTGTTCCGATGGGTCTTTGAGATGTTGCCATAGCCGTCTACGGACCATGTGACAAACCCGTTGCATCAAGACAACATTCCCTCATCTTGGCAGAGGACAATCCCCAATGTTCTTCACACAAGTTGAATTGAGCTGGGTTTTGTTTGTTGCTGAAAGGATTTATAGAAACATGGACATCACAGATAGTTCATTTTTTAACCCAGACACGACCTGTCTAAGACATATTTGACAGATCGAGTGGGGCGGTGGATTTCAGGCACAGATTCGACGGTTTGAAACCCACATAAGCCTACTGCGCTTCTGCTCCGCTACTGTTCCGTTCATCACAATAAGAAGAACACAGGAAACACCAAACACCTCAAAACACAAGAGAAAACACCGGCGGTCTTCCATCCCTTCTGAGACTCGTTTCTTTTGGTATGTAGGAGGAGATGTTCATGTTCATTTTCTGCTTTCAGACACCCTCCCAACCAACCAACCCCTCCCGCTTCAACCACTCCAGTCTCCAGGTGCCCAAGGCTAAGGAGTCGGTGCTCGCGCAGAGCGTCTCCGAGAACGCCCGGAGCCCCGGGGCTCCAGGCGTTCGGTGGTCTTCGACCCCCCCTTTTCCGGGTGCAACCAGCCGGCAAAAGCGGGGAGAGGGCGGTTTCGGATGGTTTCGGTGGAAGGGTTTGTGGAGGGCGGATGGCAAGGATTGGACTCAGGAATTATGACAATTAGTCGTTCTATTTTTTCTTGAAGTGATCATTATATGGAGTCCATATTCTGGGGATTCTGCCTTTTGGGGGGCCACGTGCGTGCGTTTGAGCCTTCAGGCCCTCGATTTCCGTCTTCCCTCCGAGGACTTCTACCGTGTGTGCTTCAGCATGGATGTGCTGGACACGAATGGGCGCACCGGCATTCCCCGCGGGCAGATTGCACTGCTCTTCCAGGCCGTCAGCCGTCGGGTCTTCTGGCTTCACCCCACCCCAAGTCTTGCGAACGAAGAGCGCTCTTGCCGGGTCCGTGGTCTTTTTCTTGGTCACTGAACTTCGGAACTTCCGGACCTTATTTCAGGAGCTATACTTGCCCTAAGGGTCCAGGACCATCCTGAGGATGGTCTTGGAGGTGAAAGTACTTCCTGAGAATGGTCTTTGGGGTCAAAGGACATCCTCAGGATGGTCCTGGACCCTTAGGGTTGAAGCCTCAACTCAAGTACAGGGGATGACCGCGCCTCTTGAAAGGGCCGATTCCTTTCAGCACGGTGGGGGGGGATGAAGTCGACTAACGTGTTTGATCCGAGACCCGTCGGTCTGTGGATCAAACGTGCAACGGGGGGACCCCACGTAGAATTTGGGCTTGATCATCTGGGAATTGAGCATGTCTTGGGGCCAACTTGGGCACAGACCTTCCTTTCTACAGCTTATAGCTTAATATGGTTCTTTTGCTTGAGTATAGAATCCTTAATTATAGGCGCCCTCTTCTCTCCGTATGACGGAGAGGTCGACTATATATGAGTCAGTGCTGTATTCCCCCATGACACCGCACCGCACCCCAACGCCCCGCCTCGCCCCCGCCCCTTTTGGCCACCGCACCAGTTCCAAATCCACCGGTTCCAGGGCAGAACACTTGCACCTCTGTCAGGACATCTTGCGGAACATGCAGCAGAAGCTGGCAGATCGCGAGGCTCTCAAGAAGCCCTACCGAAGCCGCAAGGACCTGCCGCTCACGGTCTCGTCGTAGGTGCAGGTAGTGGCCAGACTTCTGAGGATCCATCCCATATCCATCCCTCTCTGCTTGGTGGAACATGCCCAACACTTCCGGATCGGATGATCACCAGATGCCGTGGATGGCGCACCATCCACTCACAGGATGGGACGAAAACAAGCCCGTGGAGCTCCCACCAAAGCTGACACTCCAAAGCCCAATACAACCTCAGTTGTGGGCCTTTAAGGTCTTTAAGAGCCCTTAAACATGCATGTGTATATGAAGATTTGACCACATCTATGGTGTAGGTCGGTCCATGTCCCACCTGGTTTCAATTGGCTTGCAAATGGCGAGCAGACCATGACCATCCCCAATAGGTTTCTCTAGCGATTTGGTCCATTGATCATACACTTCACAAGATGTCAAGACCTTCACAATAAGGCCCTGGCTTTTGCACTAAGGTCCTTACTGAAAAATCGACCACTCGAGCGCAGAATGGACCGTGGCAACATGTCTGAAGTTTGTACCCGTCATTCATCGCCCGGTTTCATCGCCGCGCGATGCAGCGCGTGCTTGTCAGGACAAAAGTCCCAAGAAGGGCTCCAAGGGCAGCAGTGGAGCCACACCAGCCACGCAGCCCTGCCGCATGCGAAGTAGAAAGAGGGAGGCTCTAAGGGAACTGCCGACGTTAGGTTTGACCTTTTGGAGGGTATCTAAGCAGCTAAAGGATGCGGCCAGGCGTAAAGAAACGGTCGGTTGAACCAGCTCGTCGTTGTACTTTTGTAGAGAAGGGGTGGCTGGATTCGAGACGTAGACGTTCTTACACAGCACAGGCATAACGACGGACGCCGGGAACAGAAGGCACGTGTGATCATTACTCTCACAGTTACTCTCACCTCTCTAAAAATCCAAAGCACATTGGGGGCCCATCAGCCAAGGGACAGAACACTTTGACTTGGCATGATGTTTGAAGTCTTTGAAACATGCCAGTTGATTCGAACTTCGAACGTGACCCGACTGGCAGAACCCCATTCCGAGAATATCATTGGCCAATCCGCTTAAATCGCGTGTGGAGTCAGGTGTTAGACTCAGTACATAGACTCATTTCATTAAATTAATAGATTTCCGAATTGGATTGACTTCATGTCCATGAATTTCATGGACGGACGGCTGCGCGTCCAATCGAGTGCAGGAAATCGCAGATCGAGTGCTCAGGTCGGGCTCCCCAACAGCACCATTGGTGCCGGTGTGCCTACGACATGAGTTGAAGGGCACGAAGGAGATCGGTGCCTGGGCGTTGCAACACACGACCGACCTTTTTGGCAATAGGACCGGCATAGGACCGATCAGTTTTGGGGGTGGGGTGGGTGTGACCCCTGCGGCCAATGTGGGCATATATTTATATTATATGTGTGTTCCATATATACATGGAGTTTTTGTTGGGGTCAGGTATGAAGGATTGTTTTTTTTGGAGACAGGTATTTGAGGTTTCTCACCATGAAAGATCCTAAACACCAACAACCCGGCCTGGGCCGGCCATTGGAGGCCGAAGGGCCAGTCTAGTTCGCACGGATTGGAAACGGGCGAATGGAGGTCCGGCCCCAAAAGGGATGTGGGATGTTTGTTCTCTTTGGAGAGCTGGCCTGGTTCTTCAAGACCTGGCCTGATCACCTGGTTGGTTCGGTCACGACGGTCACGAACAAGCCTCCGAGTAGGGTCACGAAAAGGAACCTTCAAAAGGTCATGTACTGAAGAAGCTGGGGTGGTGTTTGTTTTTTCATTTGTTTCTGTACTTTATTGTTTGTTGATGCATATGACTCGTATGCTTCTACCCCATGTTCTACCTCATGTGTTTAAAATATGGTCTTTTGGGGGGTGGGTGGCACCAGTTGTGACCACAAAGAACTATATAAAGAACTATATTGAGTACAGTACCTTAATAATAAAGCTGGGATTATATACAGATCCTTCTGTTCGTGTCAGACGCAAAAAAGTTCCTCGAAAAAGGACCACCGGTATGTGGGTCAAGTTCGATATCCTCCAAACAACCTTGGGGAAGTCTCGTTTTCGGTACCGTGTGGTTTCAGATCTTGTTGTGTTCAAGCTTTACTCGCATAGATTGAACCCACTGACCAATATTTTTCATGTGAGTTGAAACTACCGACAAGTGTCACAGTGTGTTTCGGAGTTGTTTAATGTTGTTTCAGCATCATCTTCTGGTGATGTCAGATGGTGTCAAGTTCAACCTTAGCATCCTTCGCATCCTTAGCCATAGTAACAGGTGACTATAAACACCATCTTTGGAATGTGACACTTGACCAGTGCGGCAACTCCTCTCGGTCGTTGTCGGTGTTTGGTCGAGTCAACCACCCGGGGGTCCTCGCCCCCATCGATTGGAGGAACGCCGTGATCCGATTGGCATGTCCAGTCCTGTCGGTGCAGCTCACACCAATCCACACGCGCGCATGATCGTTGCTGGTCCGTCGCGCGGTCGACGGAAGACGTCGCACGTGCAGTCCGTCCAGTCCGTCGCGCGGGTCTTTGAGGCCTTCTCTTGGAGATGCTTTGGGCCAATCTACCTGGCCGGCCCTTCCCCACCGTCATGGACATGGCGGGGTCCCGATGGACATAGCGGACGCGGAGTCGAGACGGGATTGGGCATCTTCGGGAAGGATGACCCCGAGTTCGATGCCGGGATGGTTATACACCACCCAGGTCGGGTGGTTGGACTAGACCCTTTCTGAAGAGGTATATTGTTCCATCTAACCACCCAAACTGGGTGGTGCTGGTAGATGTTTTTTGGACTTAGACCCTTCCTTTGTCAAGCCGTGGGCCGTGGACTTCTTTTCGGCCCCCGACTGAAAACGATCCGTTCGAACAAACGGCACCCGACTGAAAACGATCCGACACTGCTGGTCCTTACATCTGGGAAGATGATGCACATGGAACCTGATCAGGTGGTTTTTGGGGAGACTATGTTACCTCCACAACAAAGTTGTGTTGCGGGTGTCCATGTGAGTTTTTGCCATGTCCCATGTAAATTCCTCTCTCCAAAGATTGGAAGAAGCGGCCGGAACCTTGAGTCACCCTGTTTCACACGCCTGAAGCCGAGCCAACGGACCGACGTCAGACAGAGGTTTGACAGCTTAAAACAGATCAGTGGATGATCGTGGATGTGTGTTGTTTTTAATGACTGATGGTCAGAGTCAGGTTGATAGTTGTATTATCCCTGTGTGCATTTCCTCTAGGAAATGGGTGGCCTCAAGGCCACTAGAATATTTGTTTTCCTAGTAACCTACCCTGGGATGATTTTTCCAAAACCACCCATTTTCTTTAAACTGAAACCTCAAGACCTCTTACAAAACAGGCCATCCAGAACCACCCATTTTCTACATTGATTTTGTGAGTGATCTTCCAGGGAAAGGGGGGGGGTTATGTCAGGCATTTTCTAGATAAAATGATAAGCCATGAGTAACAGTTTTTCTTGAGTCCCATGAGCCCACTAGTAAGTGGAAGACCTGACCCTCAAGGTACATTGTCCGATTTTATGACGGAGGTTATGTCAGGCATTTTCTAGTGGCAGTTTTTGAACATCATAATTTTCATAGCTTCTTTTTTTGGAACCTGTAGCCCATCATTTTCTAGCTGGATGTCAACCCATTCTTTAGTGCTCCATTCCATGTCCCGCCGTTTCTGTGCCAGAAAATGGTGGCCCCAACCCCACCCTGGTAATGTACACAGTGATGTTGTATTTAATTAGAGATGTTCTCCCAGACCTGTCCATGGGACTAGCCTATTTACATACATTGGGGGTGGTTTCAGATGTCCATGTAGGTATAAAGTATAACCATTACGACTATTTATGAGAAGGCCTGTCCTAACCATCATAATCCACTTATATACTGGTAATAGGAGATAGACATAGACCTAGTATCTATCAATCTATTTATCTATTTATCTATCTATCTATCTATCTATCCATCCATCCATCCATCTATCCATCCATCCATCCATCCATCCATATCTATCTAGGGATCCATGTACCTTCTCAGAAGGTACTTGGACCCTCTCAACACATGGATTGGTCTGATCCCACGAGGCCTCGAGCCCGATTTCGTCTTGGCCTCGCCAGATCCTCAACTTCCTCGAGCGGGCCGAGCAGCAGCGTGACGCGCGTGGCGTCACGCCCGTGCCGGCTGCATGACGAAGACCGAGTCTAGGAGTGCGATGGGATAAGGTGAGTGTGGGGATGGGGCAGATTGGACTGCTAGAAGGACTGACGAAGCGCTGGCGCAAGCTTCGCTTCGGAAGCTTTTCGATCGGAACAAGGTAGGAGACGAATTTCCGTTGGTGGGTTGATGAAGCCCATTCACGCGAGATGTCTTGATATGATTGCATGGTTTGTCGAAAATTCGTTACACATGGGAAAGGATCCAGTTGGCCAACGCCGTGTTTTTTTGGACAAAGATCCTGGGCTTCCCAACAGGGCGTTTTGATATGATTTGGATGCCCATCCAGTCAGATTTCTAGCCAGTCCAAGAAGGGAATTTGGTTCCGCCCAATATGGAAGGTCTCCTGCACCTCACAATTGCTGTATATATATATATATATACACAAGTCAAGAGGCGACGGGTCGACTGCTCTTCCATGATGGGTTTGTGGTTTTGGATGTTCACCCCGTTTGTGGGGCCATAAGCACGATCTATATATTTCTAGTAGTGCTCGATTTTGATATGTGGGTCTCTTGATGCTTGCTTGGATGCTCGCTGGATTGCTTGTCAAGGGGACCAACGAAAAATCGCACGCCTACACCCGGGAAGACTAACATGGAACCTGAACATGGACCCCTTGGGAAGGCTATTTTTCTACAACCCCGTGCCCTTTAGGTTCCATGTTAATTTTCCGGAGTGTACTTCTTTGTTTCAATACATGGAACGGAGCCCACAGGCTCCACACGAGGATCACGCAAGCGCCTTCCCCAACGACCTACCTGGACCTAGCCGTGGGCATCGTTCCGTCCCGTGCACGTGACCGTTGATCGCAGGACGAGGAAACAGGATCGCGAGAGGCTTCATACGGTCTATGACGTAAGATCTTTGCCACCGTCAGCCTGGCTGGGCGAGTTACCATACCCAGACACGACCAATGGGACTAACATGTGGCTTTATGATCAGTTGGGGTTGTGTTTTTCCCTGAACCTTGTAACCACCGGTGCTGGAGGAAGCTAGTCTTCCAAGTGCCATGCCGGTCGCCCGGTTCGTAGGTCTCGGGACCCGGATGTATGTTCGATCTTTGTCCAACGATCCATTCCCAGACTCTATGGATTGATCCTGTGCCAACTTCCGTTTTCTTCTTGACATGGTCGATAGCCGCCAAAGAGTACCGCCAGCGATCCTTCGCAACCGGGGTGGGGTCCCCCCCCCCCGCGCCTTCGCGGTGGAAAACACACCACTCACCGGTGGGTGCGACGCGACGGAGATCCAATGTTGATCTCCTGAGGCGAATGTCTTAGAATCAACAGCCGCCCACTGCGAGGATGGTCGTTATCGACGGGTTCAAGTGGTGAAGCTTTGTTTTGGTGTCATCGATGTTCAGACTTTAAGGTGATGGGAAAAGCTTACATATTGTATCATATGTGTGATGTTTGTTGTGTCATTATTCTGCAGGGAATGTGAAGGGCTCAGTGATTGTAGTTGTCTATCTTGTTTCTATCGGGAGTTTGTCGAAAGCCCCTGGATGGGTCGAAAAGTCCCATGGAACTCTAGGTGTTTTGTTTTACATCATTTGGCATCTTTGTGCTGCAGGGAAACATGCAAACATATCGCATGGACTACCAACATGCGTTCAGAGATGGAAGCTCATCTCATTGTGTAACTGTGGACTTCAGGATATCTCACCCATGTGCCCCAAGGTTGATATGACCCAAGGGTATCTCACCGTTGCAGTAATGATAAATCACCTGAAACAAAACAAGGGTGTGCCTCCAATCAGGGTATGCGCTTTTGTATATATACACAGTTTAAAATAACATGAAGCAAACAAAAACATTGAGTTTATCCTGCCTGTTGCGATGGAAGACCAAACCATAGAGTTTATCATCCAAGTTTGAAATCATCTACCGGGGCCGAAGTCATCGGAAGGCTAAAACATGTAGGCGTTGACTTGAGCTTTTGTTCCAATGAATAGATATAGAAGAGGGAGAGTTTCTCCATTATGTCACGGTTCTAATCGGTTCTATATACCCCATTCTTTGTTTTGCGCTTGGACAATTCACCAAGCTCGTTTGCTTCAAATCCCCATTCGCAGGGGGAGACTGGCACAATTCACGGTGCGTTCGTTATGCTTCACATGGTGTCTTGGGAATCACTATCACCCACCTGACGGCTTTTTCAACCCGACTGGATTCGACTCTCCCGACTCTGGTCGGGTCACTTCTCTTCAGGTCGTTCTTCGGATCCCGACTCGTGTCGGGTCACTTCGTCGTCTCGTGGTCTGAAGCACCGGGAGTCGGAACGTTGGAAGCTGGAAGGGACGGGAATGGAGCTTGCTTTCGAACATGTTCCACACGTTTCTCATGGCTGGGAGAGGTTTTTCTTGTTGCTGTTTGTTTCATTTTTGGCATGCGGATGTCTCAAAACACAGTCTTGTGTGTATATCCATCAGCCCGCCCAGTAAAGTCATTCCCATACAAAGGCCCTATAAGGTTGTACCATGTTCCTGTGCATTTCGTCGCTACTTGCGTGCAATTCCCACGGCACCAGATTGACCAGTTCGCGCCGCCGATGTCAAGCACGACCGGCGCGACGCTGCACGTGGTCCGGTGGTGGCCGGAAAAGCGTAGGATGAATGGAACATCCATGAACATCAGATTGCTCACGTCTCAACCTCGACCATCCAGTTGTTAAAATGGATACCGAACGACGAACGATCAGCAGCAAGGCGTTGAACGGCCGCGTTTCGGTGCGTGACTTCGCGCGAAACGTCGGTGCCGTCCACCGTCTTCCGTCGCCTCCCAGGCCGTCAACGCAGCTCCAGATGGATCATTTCTGGTTGGTTCCCGGTCTCGAGGTGAACTCTTGACCCAGACACTCCATGGGACTGGAATATTGACCCCTGAAACCACCCCAATCTAGGCATATATATTGTATATTATGCCATACGTGGAGTGTTTGGGTGAGGTTTCCAGGGCCAGGTCTTTCCGTCTCGTAGGGTCCGATGTCTCTCCGTAGCGATAGCGATGCCCTTGGTATCCATTCGTAGCAGAACTGCTGTGGGTAGGTCTTTCATCGGAGAATGTGTTTCTTTCTCTACTAGGTTTGCCGTTTGACAGATCTGCGTTTCTCCGGTGGTTTCAAATTTCTCTCCGGACTCGGGTCCGGTTTCTAGTTCCGGGGACGGTTCCGCCACCCATCCAGTGGGAGAAAATGTGGACAGCCCGGATCCCCTCCAGTTCGATATAGAAGAACTTGTGGTCCAACTGTTTGGCGAAGCAAAGGGATGTCCAAACCGAACTCGGCCGAACTCTATAGGTCAGAGATGGTCGGATCTCCCCCAAGCCCCAAACAGGTCGGGTTCACGATCTCTCTCCCTTGATTCTACCAGAGGCCCGAAACGACGCCGGTCGACGACCTTGACAAACATTAAAACTCCGCCTTTGCTGATGGTCACCAGTGTCTTTGGTATGGGTCATTTTTCGATGCTCAAGTCCGGGCTGGAAGCATCACATTGGAATCTAACGGGATCTCGACCTATAGGCGCCTATAGGCCTATAGACCTTTTATGGGGAAGACCCGTTTCTTTAGAGGACCGTGATACCGAATTCCACACCTGACCTGGGAACCAATTGTGGGATGGACAATTCCGTGCAGGCTGCAAGCGATTTGCAACGGGTCTGGTGACAGCAACAGAGACTGGTGACTGAAAGGACATTGTGGAACATTGCGAGAAGTTCAAGTGAACATTCCGCATGCATGCGCATGCAATTTTTTCTATAGCCGTATAGGGATCCAGTCGTACCTTCTCAGAAGGTGCGACTGGACCCTCCAAACCTACATAATAGTGTCGAACACATCACCTTCTGAGAAGGTACTTGGATCCCTGGGGCAGCTTGTCAGACGGCCTGTGAGTTTACAAGTGAACATCCCCAACAATATGGTGTGACCATCCTGGAAAGCTCCAGGCGCCTTCAAAGTGATTGTCCCTGAGATAGCATATGAGACAACCCCCCAAAAGTAGGTCACTTATAGAGACTCCAAAGGGGGGCACTTGAAACTTCGAATGTCCTGGCATAGTTGTTTTTGTCGCCTAACTTGGAGTCATTTGTTTCTGGCCGTTCCAATATGCGGGTCGTGTCATTCACAGCACATTCGCAGACTCGAAGCTGTTCACTCGGCGCAGCCTGCTACAGATTTCGAAGCTGTTCAGCGTGCGAAGCGTGCGAAGAAGGAGCTTGTGAGATCGAGATCTTCAATCCAGCGAAGTTGAAAGAAAAGCATGAAATGTGACACCCTGTCTGACACGCTCAGACCTGAAAAAGTGCTCAGGGGTCGGCTAGGTATACCTGGTCTTTAACTGGGTACCCAACCCATACAGTGACCACAGAAAAGGGATTAAGACATGACATGAAGCACCACCCAGGTCGGAGCACGTGCTCCTACGTTTTGAATGTTGGATCACCGACTCCCACCTGCGGGAGCACTCGACTCATAGAATTGGTCCCGAGATGCTGGAGATGGGTGGAAACCGCAGTCACGAGACGAGGGGAAACCGCAGCTCCAGTTCATTTGGTCGGCCAGTTGTGGAGATTCAGATGTTTCAGGGCGGATGATATCGCCTACACGGCTGGTGTTCAATCCCTTTTAGAGATCACCTCATAAGCGGTGGATATGAATTAATGTCCAGAATCTTGTTGAATTTGCTATGATGCACAGAAACACTTCGGCAGCTCAGGCTGAAACACTTCAGTCTCCAGTCCACACCACTTGCTTCGTTTCAGACTCCACCTTCGCCCGTGGGACGGCCACCAGAAGCCTTCCGCGCATCACAAAGAGCGCCCCCCCAAAAGAAGCCGCTCGCTGCCAATCCGAGAAGTCGCTCCGGGAACGGCGAGCCTCCGCGTTCCGCCGCTGCATCATCAATGTGAGGATCCACCGACGGAGAAGGTGCTGCGATTGACCCGTTTTCGTTTTTACCACCTGCCATCTTCAGGGCTTGGCATTCCTCTGAGTGAATCCGTCAAGCTTTGCAAAGAAAATTACATGGTCCTTGTACTCCATGTATAGTACGTATATATTTTGGTAGATGCAAATGTCAAGTTTATGGAATAAATGTTCTCACCCCAACAGCAACCTCACCCCTTACTTTCAAGGAACACTATTCCCAAAGCAGGAAAGTCCTTGCGACTGCATGGTGTTGAGCTGGTACCAGTAGTAGTGTTGTTGTTGTTGTTGTTGCTGCTGCTGCTGCTGCTGCTGGTGGTGGTGGTGGTGGTGGTGGTGGTAGAAACAAAAACAACCGCCCAACATAATTGTAACATGTTGTAACTAGCCGCTGGGGTTCAAGACGCCCCAAAGGCTGGGGCACACGGGTGTCCGGGGCCGGTAGCACACCCCCAAGGTGTGGGTCGGTGTCCAAAAGGGATCGCCTAAACGTTCCCACCCTTGGACTTTTGACCTTTTGTCCTCGCGATCCGTGCCGAGTACTCTTGCCATGGCGGTTGCAGATGCTTTGTCACTTGCTGGTAGCATCGTGAATGACCCGCTCAAAGCTGACCTTGTGTCCCTCTTTTCCGGGCTTGATGATTCTGGACCAACGCTGACGCTTGGTTCCCGTATTCTGACTGCTGGAGAGGTGGAACTTGTTGTGGGAGACTTTGTGACACTGGGCGTCTTTCCCTTTCGGCCGTCCGTTGGCTTCGATTGTGGACAGTCCCTGGAATCCAAGTTGAAGGTGAAGATCCCCCACTTGGCTGATCGATCCATCAGTCTGTCGCCTGGGGTGCATATCTTGTGTGCAGGGACACCTTCCTGCAACCAGCTTGATTACATTGAGTATGAAGATGATGTTGTCATCACTTTCCGACCAGAGTTCGACAAGCTGATGCCCTGGAATTTGT